CCAAAGAAACAAAAAGTAATAAACACACCCTACCAATACTTAAATAAAACATAATTACACTAACAACATGTACCCTAGACAGTTAACTATACCTTTGTTGAAACTATTTCATAGTTATATTGGTTATCCACATCCAGATGTATAAGATAGAAAATAAGATGAGGTGATTGGGTTGTTGTAGGTTTTTTCGGGCTATATGGCCATGTTCTAGAGGCATTCTCTCCTGACGTTTCACCTGCTTCTATGGCAAGCATCCTCAGAGGTTGTGAGGTCTGTTGGTGAAGGGACATTATCATTATTAGTATCCCTTATATAGGGGAGACACTATTGTGTCTTTGGTGCAGAGGTGCAGGAATGGCAATGGACCACTAGGGGGGACTGGCAAACCATACCTCCGAAGGGACATGGCAGATTCCAGTCCTCTGACACCTATGTTTCACACCTTCCTGGCAAGGGGATGCAGGGGGCATCATGACCTGGGACTGATAGTAGGTTGTAGGCTACCTCACCTTAAGATGAGCTCACCTTTAGCCAATCACTCTGCCAATGATATAACCCAACTCACTGTTACTATGCAAGCTTTGCAAAGAGCACAAGAAAGATATATAAGCAGCTTGGCTGATCAATAAATTTTGAGATCACTTCTTCACCCCCCTTCTGACTGACTGGTGGTTTTCTTCATGCGTCTCCAACATGTTGGAACTAGGAAAATTGGGTTTATGTATCTGTGGAATGTCCAGGGTGGGAGAAAAAACTCTTGTCTGTTCGAGCTAGGTGTGAATGTTTCAACTGCCATAGATGCAGGCAAAATGTCAGGAGAGAATGCCTCTAGAACATGGCCATATAGCCCCAAAAAACCTACAACAACCCAGTGATTCCAGCCATGAAAGCCTTCGACAATAAGATGAGGTGATGTTGATGATTTCAGTTTGATCCTTCTTATGCTGTCAGCCCAGATCAGTTTGCAAAATTTGTTTGCTTGTTTTTTTGCTTTGGATTCCCCCTCCAAGTTTCCATTTTCTATTGTTTGAAGACATCCCTAGTAACTGAGGGCAGATTGCATTGTGAATTGAGGTAATTGGGTAAGGAATAATTTGTGTTAACTTTGGGAAATTTTCCAGTTTACTCTCAGCGAATACTTCATTGTTTGATGGCTGCCACGTCCTGTTGTGATGAAGATTAATGTGTAGTCACAAACAGTCGCGGAAGCTTTCCCCCTCCGATCAGGGAGTAAACACACACTTTTATCTTTGCAGCAGACTTTATACAAATATATATATATATATATATATATATATATATATACATACATACATACATACATACATACACACACACACACACACACACACACACACACACACACACACACACACACACACACAGAGTCCATTTACAATGGCTGAAGACTGGAATACTTCTCCAGCCTTCTTTTTCTGATACTTCTAGATAAGTGGAAACTTCTTACTTGCAACAGGCTGGTTTTGTACTCCAATTCTTCTTTATATTCCAACCTTCAGTCTCCTCAAGTCACAAGCTTCTCAGAACTGCAACCTTCAGTAAACCTTCCACACATCAGCAAGGAGTAGCCTTTTGCTCCTTTATTACTCCAGCAGTTACTTCACCCTGGCTGTAACTGCACAATGCTAGCCAGGTGGTTTGACTCTTACTGCTTGCTGCCCTGATCCTTACACTACTTGTTACTTAAGAAATAATAAAAACGCCCTTTAAGGATATAGTTACCTGGAACTTTCTGCCCAGGGAGCAGGAAGTTTTATGATTCAAAGCAAACAATTGGCTACTGCTGATGAAATGAAGATCAGTTACACTAATGTAAAGAATACCTAATCTTCAAACAGTATGCATAAATAATAAGCACTATGTTGTAAGTAAATAATAGAATTATTGAATCATGTGACATCATGTTACCATATCTGAAAAACTGGCAAGTGTGGACAATAAGCAATTTAAACAAGACACATTGCTGCATTTGTATCTGTAAAGCTACTTGCAATTTCCAGAAAGCTTGGCCACTAATATACTGATGAAATGGCCATCATGTGCTGTGCATGTACAACCCATAAAATAGATTAAAGGCCCCACTGAATCAGTTGCTGAACAAAAGGTCAACATGTTTATAAATCACATTGGTTCAGTGATTCTATTCACTAGATTTAGCAGTTGAATTTAGGTCTCCGTCTCTAAAGGTACATGTGCTGTATTCATACAAGTAATGGTCTCCTGTGTGAAATTTATCCATCTGTATCAGTGTGTTGTCACTGGCTTCTGACTTAAGAGGTGTAGTATATAGTATGAAGGTGTTCCTCTTTCATCAGCATCATGCTTACAACTTAAGTTTTTAATATAACATCTCAGCTGGCAGGGTTTGAATGTAGGATTGTGCTTTGGGACAAATTTTACAATTAAAAGAAACAACTTAAAAATAATTATAGAGCAAAACTTGGAAGTAAGTGCTCTCAGCACAATTACAGGAATAAATTATTCAAATGAAAATAAGAAGTTCTCTGGATTTAGAACAGGTTCATTCCTGCTCTGCCATTCCCTCCACTGATTGCAAGGCCCTGAAACCTTTCAATCCTCCACCAACTTCCTTCATTGAAAATGGGAAAAAGAAGTTCCAGGCCAGCTTTCTTGCATATACAGTGCAAGAAATATGGTGGCGTCTTTCAATGCCCTAACCTCTTTCAGTCCAAACACAAAAGATAGAGAGAAGGAAAGACTTATGATGATTTAATGCAGTGATTCCCAAAGTGGGCATTACCGCCCCTGTTGGGCACTGCAGTGATCAGGGGGAGGGGGGATAATGGCCACAGGTGTATTTGGGGGTGATGAATAACTGTAAGGGGGCGGTGAAAGCATAAAAGAAAGAAGAGAAGGTTTAGAAAATTTGATTTCCAGAGGGTAGGCCAAATAAGTTTGGGAACCATTGATTTAATGGGAAGGAGCAGGGGAGTAAATCATGAAAGGAAGAAGCACACATGATTTTTTTTCTTTCCCTTGCCTCCCACTTCTCCCCAGTTCCTGTTACAATTCATTTTGTTCAATCTAATACTAATTTGAGAACTACACTACATTCTGTTTTCTTTCAAGCATTATCTTTATTTTCCCACTAAAATGACATGTGTTGGACTGTGTTTAGCTATTTTAGTATAAAGTTTAAAATTAAAGTCTGTATGAACTGCTCAGAAATTTGAAAAAGACATTTTAAATATGCCAGATAATTAAAGGCATGCAATTTTTTGCACCTGTTATCTAATGCAATATTACATGCAAGTTTGCTGTGTTCCCCAGTAAATGGGAACAGACATTGTCCATTGACATGTATATAATTATTGAAATTTATGAATAGTATTAAACTGTCTGCTGTATTGCATTGAAAAAATAAGAAACAGACATCTGGCTAGAAGCTAGAAAAATGGTAGATATTGGTTGAAAAGTATACTGGTGTTTCTAGTGTTTATTGCAAGTATACGTCTTTATGGATTTTCGCCAAATTCTAAAGCCCCTCATTTGGAAGATCTTGAGTGTGGGATTATGCTTAAAATGTTATATATGTTGAATAATAATTTGTCTAGGGAGCACAATGGTTGTATAAACCTTATTATACTAATGGCATTATGGCTTATTATAATGAAGACAGTCCTCTTCTCCCATAAATTGAAGTTCTTTGTGTCTCTGTGACTCACGCAAATGGGCTGCCTGCACAGTGCATCACTCAGAAATTGTTAACTCGTCTTAAGTCTTTTTAATAATAGGCCCTGACCACTCTCCATGTATCCTATCAGTGTGCTTCCTGCCTGAACTCCCAGTTTCTTTTTATCCACCACAGCAGCAGCATCTCAGGAACATTTCAGAGCCTTATAATTCTCAGGTTTAAGATTTTGGGTAAAATTGACTTGGATTGGTCTATCAGATTTTGATTCTGTCATTTTTCATTTGATTACGATGTTTTTTGAATAGATCTGAAAATGTTTAATTTTTTCATGTTTTTTTACCCAGTTTTGGTTGCTTTTGTCATGGTCTCAGCAAGGGGCTTCAAGTGTCCCGATAAAATTCCTAGGAGAGATAGCTACTCAAAGTGCCTTTTGTGTCATGGAGAAATTTTCAATATTCAGTCATGCAAGTACTGCTAGGCCTTTATCCCATAGGCCCATACAGAGAGGCAAGGTTGAAGGACCCTCTCTATTACCATGTCCTAAGTGTGGCTATTAATGGGGTGGGCACAAGGTCTCATCAAATTGCTTCACCCAGTTCATCAATCTCTCAGCCCACACTCCACCTCAAGCCTTGGTAGTTTATACAGAGTAAAATAGAAAAGGTACTTGCTGAAAATAATCCTGTTTTGATCATTTTGAATAAATGTGTGCATGTTTTATGGATCATTATTTTCACAAAGGACTGTGAAAGATATTACACAACAGGACTGTAGACTCTATCCAATTTTTGGGACTATACCAGTGTCTTGAAGAGGAGTCTAATAATTTTAAGACTGGGTTGCAATCCTTTAAAAAATAACTTTGTATAGTCTCATGCATATAGTGTGTATTAATCACACTATTTAACAAAATTTGAAAAAAAATTGTTTCTGTTTTGAGAGTGTTATTTCCTGTTTAATTGTGCTGTATGTACTTAGAAAGTAGTCATTATACTACATAAAGTTCATTTTTGTGGCTGCCACAAACTGTGTTAAATTGGTTGAGATGCTATGAGATACTCATTGAAAAACTATAACAAATATGCTGCAGGATGTGCCACAAAAACAAAGTTTTTGCAGTTCAGTAAACTTTTTCCCATGTTTTTTATGATAGAAACAATTAGGAAATGACAGGGAAGATTTCATAATGCATTCAGTTTTAGAAGTTTATGTCTGCCTCCAGCACAATTAGACTTTTAACATGTTTCTAATGTTCATTTCAATGGCATAAGAAATAATATCTAAGTAGAGTTACATCAAAATAATGCAATCTTTTTCTCTACAGAAAGGACCATGGGGTGTATTAAAAGTAAAGAAGATAAAAGTCCTACCATGAAATATAGGACTGAAAATCCTCCAGACCCTATTACATCTCATGCCAGCCATTATGGATCTGATTCAGCACAAACAAACCAGACACCTGCAACAAAGGGATCCTCAGTTAATTTTAACAGCCATTCCATTACTCCTTTTGGTGGACCATCTGGTGTGACACCTTTTGGAGGAGCATCTTCCTCATTTCCATCTGTGCCATGTCCTTACCCTAGTGGCTTAACAGGTAACCACCATTTCAGAAATCATACTAAATGTCAACAGAACCTCCAAGAAGACAAATGGAATAAATGAAAGTTTTCATGTGATGGGTTTATTTTTGACTTGATAAGATCTTTGGTTCAAAAAATATCATACAATTGTATATAGACTCGAGCAGCACCAGGAAAATAACTGAAACTTGTTCCTACCATTGCAGTAACAGTGGCCACACTCTCATCCATAATACTATCTGAAAGTGGAAGAGGGTATCTTAAAACATTATATTGAAGTACCATACAGCAACAGTTTCTTACTTTTATATTCCATTTTAATTTATTGACTTGCTCCATTCAGCACATTGAGCAATTTCTAAAGAAGTTTAATTTAAGAGTAGAATTGCCTAGACCACAACCAAGATTGTACCATATATTTACTTTTATAGTCTTAACAATATTTTTAAAAGCCTCACTTCCATTGTAATTTTTTTTATCTGATTCACCAGACAAAGTTCTCCTTACAGATGGAACTTTCAGAATGTTAGCGTATTTCCCAAATGAGTAAAACCCCTAAAATTTGGAATAGGCATGGTCCAACTTCACTTTACCAGGAAAAATTAACTCTATGCTTAAAATGGAACCTTGTCCAATTTTACTTTTTGTTGTTGTTCATTCGTTCAGTCGTCTCCGACTCTTCGTGACCTCATGGACCAGCCCACGCCAGAGCTCCCTGTCGGCCGTTACCACCCCCAGCTCCCTCAAGGTCAGTCCAGTCACTTCAAGGATGCCATCCATCCATCTTGCCCTTGGTCGGCCCCTCTTCCTTTTGCCTTCCACTTTCCCCAGCATAATTGTCTTCTCTAGACAAGTAAATTCATGACTAGCTGGAACACTGGAATTTAGTATTCCATCAAAGACATTTTACCTGAACAATCAGGAATGTGGACCTTTTCAACAGTGTCTCACAAAAAAAGAGGGAAAGGGGAACTCAGATTACATGTCGCAGTTATCAGGGATCATTTCCAGTGTTATATTATAGTATTTTCCCCTGTAGCTAAAAGTAGTTGTATTGAAATACTTGATAAACACACACACACACACAAGTCAATATTGCATAATTACTATCATTTCAGTGCTGTATTCAATCCAATTGTAACTTGGGTATTAGGGAAAGAGTATTTAAAACTACTCAGATATATATAATTCCTTTATGTTGTTGAAATGTTAAAGAAAAATAGCTTCTGAACTGAAAATGTGTGCATGTGTGATATAAATGGTTGATTACAGTTGTAAAAAAGATTACAAGTTTGAAGGTTCTTCTTTGACTGATATTTTATCAATTTATTAATGCAGTTAATTTATTTTATAAAATTCTATTTTTAGAAAAAATATGTGTGTGTAAAAATATAGGAGCAGAAATATTTCCGCACACCATGTGTACTTGGAAAATTTTAAATCTGTGTATATAGTAGTGTGGCTCACTAGGAGAACTTGACAATAAGTCATTTATGCATGCTATGGTCACAGTTTACCTCATAATAAAGACTAACATTCCAGTGGGAACCAACTAAACCATACATGGATTAGAACGTGAGAGGACTGGGCGTTCCATTGCCACACCAAATTGGGATTTAAACACACTCATTACAGGTGGAAATGTGTTGATGCCAGCTAATGATAATTTTACCAACATTATCATGTCACAACTTTATTATTCAATTTCCTAGTTTTAAAAAAAATTAAAGCACTTTCTTCTATCTATGATAAGACTCATCCATCCCCATGTTATGTTTGGGCACTTACATTATTTTTGCTGGATTGAGGTGGTGCTATGGTAGCAGTAACAAGAGGCCCCTCTGAAGTGATGATTATCTGTACTCAGAGTAAGTATATAAGAGGAAATACGGACAAATGTTCCAGGATTTTTTAAAATTACAACACTGAAAGTGTTTTTTTTTTTTCCTTAAGGTAAATCAACATTAGATATTTTAGGTATTTGTTTGAGTTGCCCTCTTATAACTTCATCCATTAAAATTCATGTAATATAGATATGTATTAAATACTGAACTTTAAAAATTACTAAAGTTAAATTTAAAAAAAATTGAAGAAGTGGCATGCTTTGAGAGAGTATGGCTTGTTTGGCAAAGTGTTCGAAGTTGTATTTTCTCATGTGCTGATATTTGCAACTTATTGAAATGTGATCAATGCACAGTGCCATTTTGTAAATCTCTCCTGAAATGAAGAGCTTTCTGACCCAGGTTTAGGGCCACGGGCACCATACCGGCTATGCAAGATGCTTGTCGAAGAAACAGGTGGCTATCATATCCTGCCTCATCCTGAATGCCAGGATTCTTCCCTGATTCAGGGCAGCAGGGAACGCTTTTCCAAGACTAATGTCTCCTTTTTTAAAATCCCCTTTCTTTCAGACATATGTCTGTGGCAAGAAACAAGCTTGGTGCAATTCTGATTGTGCAAAATAAATTTTGTATACTACCTGGCAATGTGGGATCTAAGGTGGTCAATGGCAATATCACTACCTTGGTGTCATCTTTTGTTTTTGCAAAAGATGGAGAGGACTTCTTTACAGTCCCAGAGGACATGAAAGTGGAGGCAGTCTTCAAGAAGATACTTTGGTGCTAGGAGCAGTGACCTCCATTATGAGCAGGACAACACTCCTTTAGGCAAAAAAGCTTAACATGATTATCCTGTCTATGCAAATCAAAGTGAGGCAGACAATCAAACAACCTGAAACAAGCAAATGCCACACTAGATGTGATCCAGTTTAGCAGCAGAACCCAGGTTGCTGCTGAAGCAGTGAGACATCCGGTATGTCTGAAGAACTGGGCTGTGGACTCCAGAGCCAAGCACAGCTTTATCTTCACTTCATTCCTGGAAACAAAGTTATTTGTAGAATCTCTGTACCAAGTGTTCATTGGTACCAAATATAAAAAGAAGCACTGATCCATGGAAGTAAAAAAAGAGGACAAGAGACAGCAAACTGGGACTTTTCTTCCTTTCATCCATCTGGTGGAATCGCTCCCTCTCTCATCCATACATACATGCATACACACATATACTCATGTTGCCTTGTCTTCCAGTCCAAGGGAAGCAGATGCTCCAGACTAGAAAAAAGCATTACCAAGGAGCAGCAAGATCTCAGGTGGGACCTTCCAACAAGGGACAATACAAAAACCAGCAGGCCTAATGCCATCCCTCTAGCAGAAGGCAGGTTTCCAGGATATCTGAACACATGGACGCAAGCAGCCTTGGGTCAGTGGGTGTTAGGTGCTCTTAACAAGGAATGTAGGATCGCATTTATGTATATACCCTTGAATGCCCTTGTAGCATCACCCAGATGTGAGAAACTTCATCAAAGTATGATACATTATTTTATGTGCCCCCAAGAAAAACAGTGACGTTAGGAGAGTAAACAGATTAATCAGAAAACTACAATTCAGAACAGAGTCTCTGAAGAGCATCCTCCAAGCCATCCAGCCGTGTGACTATATAGCAAACAGAAGAGCAACCACATAAGGATGTTAATTTTCTTTTCCACTAAAAATGACTGTTTCACAGGTGAAACAGGTTTTTTTTAGGAATCCTGGAATGAGTCATATCTTCTCATGATATGTCTTTTCCAATGAGTCAAGTTTTGTCATATCCATTTTCTAATGAATCATGTTTTCACAACATGCACATTATAGTAGAGTGCACTTTTTTCTTCATGTAAACTGTAGTGTGTACAGTTAATAATTACACCAACAATATAGAACATCTTTAAGAATTTGTGCTAGTTTATAAAAGTATCCAGCTCACTTTCCAAATGAAATTCATGAAATATATTAGTATACTTACTGTGTACTTGGCTTATACCTCTTTTGTCATTTTAAGCAGTTGACATAATTGCCATACTTCTGTTTTTCTTCAGCTGGTGTTACTATTTTTGTGGCCTTATATGACTATGAAGCCCGAACTACAGATGACCTTTCCTTCAAGAAGGGTGAACGGTTTCAGATAATCAATAACACGTAAATATAATATCATTTGCATTGTGGGTTGATCAAGTTGTGTCTTTTTCCACACTGTATAGCTGTATCACATGTGTAGTTGTCCATCCGTGGAACTGCTATCACTGAACGAAGAGGTCAGTAGTAGGATGCAGAACGCTACATGTAGTTGGGTTGAGAAAGATACAAAGGGAAACTGGATATTAACTTTATCTTTTGCTTGGAAGTAAAAATATCTTTAAAATGTTACAATTATTTCTGTGGTTATCTAATTGAACTTGCGTATGTCATGAAAATACATGTCATGCTTGAGCTTGCAGTAGGATATTTCCAGTCATTCAATTAAATATCAGAAAATTCTGGGCATCTTTTGATCCTGTATATTAAAAGGTAAATGAATATAATTAATATAAATTAAAATTAAAAGGCATGTAAAGTTTTATTATTTTTTACAGTTGGTGAAGCATTCTGTTTCCCCAAAATGGGGTAGAATTTTCCACAGTACACCTTCTGGGCCCACCTTTTCATTTTTATTAGCCAGAAGTTTACCAGAGGCACAGTAGATGTTCAATGTATTGCCGAAGGCTTTCATGGCCAGAATCACTGGGTTGTTGTAGGTTTTTCCGGGCTATATGGCCATGTTCTAGAGGCATTTTCTCCTGACACTTCGCCTGCATCTATGGCAACCATCCTCAGAGGTTGTGAGGTCTGTTGGAAGTAGGAAAATGGGTTTATATATCTGTGGAATGACCAGGGTGGGACAAAGGACTTTTGTCTGCTGCAGCTAGGTGTGAATGTTTCAACTGACCACCTTGATTAGCATTAATGGCTTGGAAGTGCCTGGGGGGGACTCTTTTGTTGAGAGTGATTTGATGTGCCTGATTGTTTACTCTCTGTTGTTTTGCTGTTGTAATTTTTGAGTCATATATAAACCCATTTTCCTACTTCCAACAGACTCACTACCTCTGAGGATGCTTGCCATAGATGCAGGTGAAACGTCAGGAGAAAATGCCTCTAGAACATGGCCATATAGCCCGGAAAAACCTACAACAACACAGTAGATGTTTCTATTTCTACTACATATTGTTAGCACTCAATCTCAAGAAAATCAGTACATGTTCACAGTGCAATTTAGTTGATAAATCATTTCCTAAATTTAAAGGGGAATGTGTTAGCCAAACTCCTCATACCATATTTCATTTTTCAAACTGATCTATTGTTTATGTATACAGTGCAACTTTATTTTTTTCCCTTCAGGGAAGGAGACTGGTGGGAAGCAAGATCTATTGCAACAGGAAAGAGTGGCTACATTCCCAGCAATTACGTAGCCCCTGCAGACTCCATTCAAGCAGAAGAGTAAGACTTTATTATATTGTTAATATAACAATATATTTCTCCCATAATATTTCAAGAGAATTACAAGCAGAAGACATCCACACAGATATATAATAACTCCAGTCCAATTGCCCAAATAAACAGAATGAAACGAAAGTCATAAAAAATTGTGTGTATATGATATTCATGCCAGCACATACATGCTGAGATTAACAGTTGATTTTCAGATCTAGTATTGACATGTTTATTGACCCATACTCTTATTAGTTGAAATACTTTATATTAAAGATATGTTTACATCTGAACTCTCGGTGGGTGCCATTAATACTAACATTTGAATTTTCTCTGAAGATTAATATGTCTTCATAGCGATGTAAATCTGTATTATGTATCTTCCAAATACTGCCATGATCATGACTGGTATAGCTGAACTCATTAAATTTCAATGTTTAACTCTAAGAATAGTGGTGGTAGGTTTTCTTGGCTCAGAAATTAAAATGTCAGACACATCCTGTTTTAGTACTCGCAACAAAAGTAACATGCTGTATTTATTTATTTATTGTGTAACAACACAGTAAGTTAACCATGTCTTGCGTTCAGTTGGTATGCTGTAGGTTATTAGAGAACAGGTATTTTAACTGTCCTTACTCCAGGCTACATTATTAATATTTGCAACCTTCTACATTTTCCTGGACTAGGGAGGGGGGCAGTTCTGGAAGTCTAGTGGGTAGCTCCCTATGAGACTTTGGAGATCCATAATCTTCCACCGCACCTCCTCACATTTCCTCCAGATGCCTCATGGAGGAGGGGTAACTTTTACCATGTGTATTTTTACCATATTATCAGGGCTGTTCAAAAAATATTTTTAAATTGCTTCAAAGTGCCTCCAGGGATTAAAAACAAGTTTTGTGACCCCCCCCCCCCCCAAATGTCCTCTGTGTTAGACAATACGGGACATATTTCCTCCACCTGTTATACCTCAAAACAATTTCCTAAAAAAAAAAAAAAAAGGAACTGAACAAGTGAGCAGAAGCCATTTCTTGACTTTTTTTATTCCTGAGAGCCACAGAAATGATCCCGGTAGGCTGGATGTGGTCTGTAGGTTGCAACCCTGTCCTAGTGTGTGTGCATAGGAAGCTGACCTTAAATGAATTCTGGCTCCTTGGTGTTTATAGCTGCTGCTGAAACTATTACCAGTTATAATCTGGGTGGAGTATTATTTATGGCTGTTTCATAAGCCAAATCTGTAAATAAAGTTAAAAAAAACTATAACCAGGATTTAGGATCAGACTTACAGATGTGAGTCCTGAAATTATACAACTGTGGCAGATCCATATTCATGGTCCCTGTGTAATCACATTATGACAATGTCATGTTTGTAACTGTATCCTCCTCCAAATCTACCAAATCTACCATGTTGGCAATTGGGACACAGAAGAATGATATTTCAATCTCTCTCCTATCACCTGTTGCTCGATCGCCAACAGAATGGACATAGCTATGCAATTAAGGTAGATAGTTTTGTAGCATTTTCCCCACTGTTGCTTTGCTGTTCACTGTCTTAAGGTGCCATCTTGTGATACAGTCACTTTTGAGAGGTTTTATCCCTGTCAATTCAGGTGTAAAAAACAGTGAGCATGTTTTTGTTTTGCACTAGGCATGGAAATTAATTTCAGTTCACTGGGCTCAAATGTTTGGAAGATGGCTTCATAGCAGCCATGTTTATATAAATGTTAATAGCCACAGTATATTCTATTGTATATCAGTAGCCTATTGCTATTAGGAAGATTGCACTGTTAGCAGTTTTTACCTTTTGAACCTTGTATTCTCATATACTAAGGGCAAAAACATCATAACTACTAGATGGTGCACTTTCATTTGATGAGTGTTAAAAGTACTACTTGTAAATGATAAAAGTACCCATCTATTAACTTCTCTGGGTGGGGAACAGAGTCACAATGGCAGATGAATCATACAAAGTGAGTCATTTGACAGAGATGCTCCAGGGATTTATTTTTCATGCCATATCTATTTTTTGTTCTTGGAAGGGGAAAACAATGTACTGACTGTATTGGTGTTATTTTAAATGCTATAAACAGGAGTCTAGCAGCATTGATTTGAAATGTTAGCCAATTCTTACTTGTATAATACTTGTACCACACACATATCTTCCCTTGTGTTCCCTGATATGTGTAAAGACTTTTAGGGATTTGAGTGGAGGCATGATCTCTCTTATATTGACCTTTGCCAAGTCTTCCTGACCTATCCTTGGTTTTATCAATGTTGGAAGGTTTCAGAAGAGCCCCACCCAGTCAGTTTCTCTTTGGCTTAGATCAAAGTTCAGTCTTTATAAGAATCCCTCTCTTTTTGTCATGCCAGTTATCATACTGTAAACATAATTTCCTTTTGCAATCATTTATCTTGAAAACATAACAAAGACAGGCACAGGAAGGGAGAAGAAAAACAAGGGAGATTGTCTTTGCTCCTCACTGGCAGGCTGGAGAAAGGGAAGCCCATAAGATTTCAGGAGTTGTAACACTTGTGGGAGCTGTTCAAGTTGTAGTAGCATGTGAGACAAGTGCATCCCTCATGCTCCTTCGGCACTCGTGTGTTGTGAACACAGTTCATGAAGGACAGAGAAAATGACAAGCTTCCCTTTTCTGTTCCCTCCCCATTGCATAATTGCCACTGCTGCTCTTTCTGCTTGATAGGAAATGCTGTTTGTGTGTCTGTGTGCATTGTTGCAATTGTTTTCTGAGAATGTTAGGTTAATTTCCGAACTAATTAGAATTTTGGAAAACCTCACCCATCTTTCAGTACGTCTGGGACATGGAGAAAGATAAAGCTAGCAAAAAAATTTTTACCTTCTCCATAACCCAGTGGGAATTAGCATTTAATTTGTATATAAACCTGTTACATATTTTCTGGGGTTTTTTTTAAAAAAAATTTTTTTACTTTTCTGTACAGCTGTGCTATGTATGCTTTATAAAAACTACAATTAAATGACAATTAAATCATGTTCATTGCAAGTGAACAGAGACTGAAATAAAAAAAGCAATCTATTGTAATTCAAGTCCTGCAGAATGTGTGTCCATTTTGTTTTGTTTGAAATTGGTTTTATAAGCTATTATTTATTATTTCAATTACTTATACCCCGCCCTTCTCACCCCGAGGGGGACTCAGGGCGGCTTACAGAGAAGGCAGAATTAAATGCCTAAATCAATTAACAAAATATAAATACAACAAAACAATTCAACAGTTAAAGTTAAAACATCAGTACATAATAAAATATTAAAACAATCTCATGCTCGGGTTCAGAGTCCATATAACCATTCCATTCCATTTGTCGTTGTCTGTCGTCAGATCCTTAATTTAGCTGCCAGTGTGTCCAAAGGCTTGGTCCCAGACCCAGGTCTTCAGTTGTTTCCTGAATGCCAGGAGGGAGGTCGCCGATCTAATCTCCCCGGGGAGTGAGTTCCACAGGTGGGGGCCACCACTGAGAAGGCCCTGCTCCTCGTCCCCGCCAACCTCACTTGTGAGAGTGGCGGGGTCGAGAGCAGTGCCTCCCCAGAAGATCTTAAGCTTCGAGGTGGGATGTAGATGAGATATGTTTGGACAGGTACACTGGACTGGAGCCATATAGGGTTTTATAGTCAAAACCAGCACTTTGAATTGTACTCGGAATTGGATCGGCAGCCAGTGTAGCTGACATAACAGGGGGGTGGTATGCTCCCTGTAAGCTATGGAGAATGTCTACATATTAGTGGGGTTTGTAGTTTAGGGAGGAGCCTTTGACAGTGTGATGTAGTAGCAAGTGACATAATTACTCTATTATAACTAAACTATCATCGGGGCTATGGACCAAGGACCTAATAACACAAGCGAATGAAGCCACTTTAAATCCAATTGCTATGTCCTGCAGAATCCTGGGGTTTGTAGTTTAGGGAGGAGCCTTTAACAGTGTGATGTAGTAGCAAGTGACATAATTACTCTATTATAACTCATCCCTGTGAAATAGCAAATAGTCTGTCTCCCATTTTAAAAGTACATAACAGGGAAAGCCTCAAATCATAATGAACAAACACTTTATTTCACTTTAAAATGCAGCTGCCCATTTTATAATATATTGTCTTTACACCGTTTCATTAACCAAAGTATTGTAATAATTATTTGAGTATGTTTTTCTTTTGTATTCTCTAGATGGTATTTTGGTAAAATGGGCAGGAAAGATGCAGAAAGATTACTTTTAAATCCTGGGAACCAACGTGGCATTTTCTTAGTTCGAGAAAGTGAAACCACAAAAGGTATTTAAAACAAATTATTTATGACATGGCAAAAGACTGTTACTTTGTTTATAAACATGCTGACAAACTATTATTTTTCCTAGGTGCTTACTCCCTTTCAATTCGTGACTGGGATGAGATTAGAGGTGATAATGTGAAACACTACAAAATTAGAAAACTTGACAATGGTGGATATTATATAACAACTAGAGCACAGTTTGAATCTTTACAAAAGCTTGTTAAACACTATACAGGTAAGTTTTAACTCCTAGCTTCTTACGTTGCTTTTGAACTTGAAGACTAAAGTACAGGTTGAGTATCCATTATCCGAAATGTTTGGGGCCAGAAGTGTTTTGGGTTTCAGATTTTTCCCCCCCAGATTTTGGAATTCTTGTATTTGTCTATATTTATGTAATGACATCTCATCGAGATGGAACCAAGTCTAAAGTTCATTTATGTTTCATATATTGTGTATATACATAGCCAGGAGATAATTTTGTACAGTAATTTTAATATTTTAATATATGAAACAAAGTTGGTGTATGTTGAACCACCCAAAGGCAAAGTAGTCATTTCAGGTGCCCACATGGACAGTTTTTGATTTTGAAATATTTTGAATTTCTGGATAAAGGATTTTCAACCTGTAATATATTGGGTCATAATTGTGTTAAAGTGTATTAAAGGCACAACTGGTATTAGCAAGATTTCTGAAAATGTTAATTAATTGTTTTAACATATGTGACCACAAAAAGAAACTTTTTTTCTAATTGCCAGATCATGCTGATGGCCTGTGCCATAAATTGACAACAGTGTGCCCAACTGTGAAACCTCAAACACAGGGCTTAGCAAAAGATGCCTGGGAAATTCCTAGAGAATCATTACGGTTAGAGGTTAAGCTTGGTCAGGGATGCTTTGGTGAGGTCTGGATGGGTAAGTATCATGTAGAAAAGAGATGTGGCTCAATAGCACAACTGCAAGAGCCCAGAATGTTTTGTATTTTTGTGACAGCACCTCTCATTGACAGTGTAATTCATTCCTTCCTTAGGGACATGGAACGGAACTACAAAAGTAGCAATCAAGACACTAAAACCTGGTACAATGTTGCCAGAAGCTTTCCTCCAAGAAGCCCAGATCATGAAGAAACTAAGACACGATAAACTTGTCCCGCTCTATGCTGTTGTGTCTGAGGAACCAATCTACATAGTGACAGAATTCATGACAAAGGGTACATTCGTTTTCTTGACAGAAATAAAAGATATTAAAATAGTAATGAATTTGTCAGTTATATTGTTTAGTTTTTTAGTTGTTAATTTGAAACTACTTGAAAAAAGAAAGTTGTCTAAACTCACTTTGGTCATGTAGTCGAGTTTTATGAGCACAAGCAGTTCAAAGGGAAGACTGCAAACATCTGCTTTTTTTTTAATTAATTGTGCTATTTATCCAAACCAGGAACTGTAGGTAGTATTTCTCTGAATAAACAAGTATTAAGGAATGTTTTACTTCTCTGAACAAACCATAGTTAATATTATGGTTTGGATGCCATGCCAAATTGAAAATGGAAGGAGATGCTTCTAATCCTGCCCCCCAGTGGCCGTTCTGGAGCAGGCCATTCTGTAGAGGTCCATAAAATTAAAGTGAAATTGGAATGTTTCATGGACAAGAAACATAAACAGTGAGGTCGAGGAATACTACTCTGCAGGTTGATAAGCTAGGGTGCTCCTTTGGATTTCCTTGAAACTACCTTATTTCTACACTGCCCACAGCATGGTAAATACACCAGTTTTCACATGCATTCTGAAACTATGCAGAATTTTTTTTTGAGGGGGGGGGGTTCTGAAAAGAACATGGTACATTTTAGAATAACACAAAAGATTTCAAGTTCTACAACTGGAAGATACATCTAGAATTATCTATTTATTTTTCCTTCTTTTTTGCATTTCCAGCTTCATCTAAAACAATGCTTTAATGTCTTTCTGCAGGTAGCTTACTAGACTTTCTTAAGGAAGGAGAAGGGAAGTATTTAAAGCTTCCACAGTTGGTGGATATGGCTGCTCAGGTATTTGTTCAGAGTAAAATAAGTTGTTGTAGAAGATTAGTGTCAGATAATATGTAGAAAAACTGAAAATGGCTGTTATTTATATCTAGTGTATATATCCTTTTCAGCTTCTGATTATTTAATTTAGTTGCAAAATACTAATGATTACTGCATCTGTTTGAATAGAATATGTATGTTAAATGTAGAAAATGGAATCAATCTTAGGATTGTCATATGTATTTTACATAGCTATACAGGAACAAACATTTTCATATGTGCTGAGTATTTCATGAACTTAACACACTTTTGTCAATGCACATTTTAAAGATTGCAGATGGTATGGCCTACATTGAAAGAATGAACTACATTCATAGAGACCTTCGGGCAGCTAACATTCTTGTAGGAGACAACTTGGTGTGCAAAATTGCAGACTTTGGCCTAGCAAGATTAATAGAGGACAATGAATATACTGCCAGACAAGGTATGCATTTTCTGTTCAAACTAATAGTTACTGTCATTGTATTGAAATATTTGGATTCTCAATTAGCACATGTCAGTTCAGTCAACAGTTTACTGTTAAACCCTTAGCCTGTCATTTTCCCACCTCCCCTGGTCACCTTTGGGTACACATTGTTTTCTTTTCTCTCCATCTTTGATGTGTTTCTCTGGCAGAATGGCAGAGTACCACTCTCTTTTATCTGTTGTTCAAAAATAAAAGTAATGAAGATAGTCAAACTATCCCAGACTAGAGCCTGGTCCTATCACATAACTGGTCTACTGGGTACCCTCAGAAGACTTACTCTCTTTAGTCTAGAGAAAGGGGTGGGACAACAAGGGAGGTTTCTTGTGTATTCCACAAGAAATGACCTTTTTAGAGAGTCCTTTCAGTGGTAAATAAATACAGAGAAAATGGACCCAGAGCCTAATACAGAAAGATCAGATTTGTAGCCCTCCAAATCTCAGAAACCCTAGCCAGCTTGTCCACTGGACAGGAATTCTGGGAGCCAAAGTCCAAAACATCAGGAGGACCACAAGTTTGACACTAGTGGAAGGGGAGGGGGATAAACTCATCCTCATTCCTGGACTCAGCACGTGTGTATTGCCTGAAAATTGCTTTGCTTGTTTGCTTAACAGACATTCATAAAGATTTATACATACCTCTTGTTACCTGTCCATTGTGAGCTGGAAGGAAAGCCAGATGTACATGGGCTGGCTTTGGTACTGTACAACTCAGACAGTCATTGGTTGAAAATTGACATCCCTTCACTTCTTGGGCACAGTTGCAAGGCAAACTTCCCTGCTCTTGCTCTGAACTGTTGAAGGGCAGTGATTCCTTGACTGTTCCTCTGCCAAGTTTAGAACAGGGAGGGGAGGGGAAGCAAATCATTTAATCCACAGCATAAGGCTTGGGACAGCAACTTCCCACTTGATAGCATACAGGGTTTAATAAGCCCAGCCAGAATTTGCTGAATCTTGTGTCCATATAACAGCATGATGGATAAGCTTTTCAGAATGTGTTTCTAAAACAAATTCCCAGATGGTTACAATATATGTACTACATTACCATTTACAGTTTAAATTCTAATTTTAGAAGCACTCAAGCAGAGGCGTGCTCTGCAAATAAATCAGAATAAATAAAGCTTTCAGAGAAGGGGATAGTCTAATCCTCTCTAGTGTCCAGATGAGTTCCTGCTTTAATACAAATGATGCAAGAGAAAGAGATTGTGTAGATATGCCTTTCTTACAAGAGATGCATAAATGTTGTGTAAGTACTACTCGGTGAAAACTGTTTCTTAACATTAATTACATATAACTAGCATTAAGAAAGGGGGTTCTTATTTTTCTCCACTTTAGGGGCCAAATTTCCAATTAAGTGGACAGCACCTGAGGCTGCATTATATGGTCGGTTTACAATTAAATCAGATGTCTGGTCTTTTGGAATTTTGTTGACAGAGCTTGTAACAAAAGGTCGTGTCCCATATCCAGGTAAAAAGAAAAAGCTAATAATGTTTGCGTGAGAATATAATTGTTGTTGCCTACAGGGCATGAGAATTCATTGGCCTCCAGATGTTACCAAACCACAATGTTCAGCAGCTGTAACCAGTATAGATGAAGAGGGATGCTGGTAACTGTAGTTCTACAACAACTGGAGGACCACACAGCTCTCATAATTAAAATACTGCTATTTTGTATTATGCTGATTATTGTGCATTTTCTGTCTATAACCATACAGTGTAGGTCCTGTTCTTCAAAATAGTGTAATTACTTTCAAAACAGGACTTATTCCCAAGTTAATGACTCTGGGTGCATTTACACTGTAGCAGTAATGTCATTTGATACCACTTTAACTGCCATGACTCAATACTGTTATGGAACACTGAAATATGTAGTTTTACAAGGCCTTTAACCTTTTCTGCCAAAGAGTGCTAATGCCTCACAATGTCAAACTGTATTTATCTACAGTGTAGGTGCACTATTATAGTATGATTATCCTTCCACATGAAAGGAATAAACCACAATGTTTTTCAAACAATAGTTGACATTGTGATTTGGGAATAAATATTCAAAGATAGCTAGTATATAAATATGAAAAAAATGAATTATTTGTGGAGTTTTCAACGCACAAATGGGAGAAGAGGTAGAAGAAGAATAAAGAGCTACAGTCTACAGTGAAATAAGGTGTAAGGCTTCAAACCATTTTGAGGAGGGGGAGCTTGTTTGTCTTCTTTACATTTACTACTTGGTAACAGGATAGGTGCATGCTCTTGCATGAGCATGTTCATATTATTCTGAGGTGGAAGGCTGAGAAATAAAGATGCTACCATACAGACAAAAAGAAGAGGAGAAACTCCTTGAAAAAACAAAATAGTAAAAGCCTCTTTAGAATCTTCCCTCCCAATCTTATGCCAGAAATATTGTGACAGAAGGTGATGGAATAAGTCTTAATCTCTGGTTTTGTAAGTAATGAGGAACAGTAGTGGTTACAAACTACAGTCAGCAGCATCAAGTTTTGCATTCAGATCGTGTCAGGTTGGCCTCAGCCAATCCGTATGTTTGTTTATTTATTTATTTATTTATTTATTTACTTTATTTATTTATTTATTTATTTATTTATTTTTGCTGTTCTGCTGTTAACCGCTGTGAGTCACCTTAGGTGACTCACAGCAGTTAACAGCAGAACAGCAAAAATTGTGAATATCATCTGGTTTTTAATATTAAAATACTGTATACCATACTTTAGCTTAGTGTTTTTAAGCCTTAGTGCCTAGACAGCATTGGAATAACAATTCTCATCACATGTATTACTTCTGAACCCACTTTGTTTCTATAAAAGTTTGAACACCTTCTTGACAGGTCAACAGTGTCACCAGATATAAATGTCAATCTCTGTATCATTGTAGGCATGGTGAACCGAGAAGTTTTGGAACAAGTGGAACGTGGCTATAGAATGCCTTGTCCCCAAGGATGCCCTGAATCTCTCCATGAATTAATGAAACTATGCTGGAAGAAAGATCCTGATGAAAGACCAACTTTTGAATACATTCAGTCTTTCTTGGAAGATTATTTCACAGCTACAGAACCACAGTACCAACCTGGAGACAATTTATAATTTCACATCTTACATACCATGAATAGATCTGCCAAATGTAAAATATTTTCAAAAAAGAATACCCTTGTTCATTAGAAGGACTGAGAAAGCAAATTGCCAGTTGCATGCTCTCAGTGGCTAGCAAACGGGAATTTCAAAATACGGTTGCGGAAAACCCCCTTTCAAGTGTTATAGTCAAAACGTATCAATGAGATAATATTTTTCTCCCCTATTATGTGAGGGTCCAAAAGGAGCATATAGATAAAAATGGGTGAAATTTTAACATTACCGTTAAAAAAGGCCTGTTTTGTATGAAATGGTAAGCTAAGAATCTCAGGAAGCCTGGTTTCTTGTATTATCAGCAGTGTGTTAATACACATTACCTGGTCATTCCTATTGGCAGGAGGAGCTATTGCCTCTAGTTTGTTGGAATTTAAACCAGAGAAGTACTTTCAAATGAGAGAGTTCAACAGTATATTCCAGCACACCACTTTTCCTCCATGAACCACGGTTTCTGCAGATGCCTGGCTGTCATGTTATGAAACCATGACTGAAGAGTAGAGCTGCTAATACAATTTTTACTTTTATTTTTTTCTCTCTTCAAACGTTTTACCTTATGGCAGCACCAGTAATTATATAAATATCAGAATGGAAATGTTGGAAGAATAATGAAGAAAGTTGATGGGACCAATCAATTCCAGGTTTTTTTTTTCCCGGAGTAAAATAAGAGTAGTTTATTCATTGAATTGAGATCAATACAACCCTAATTTTGAGCTTCATTTTAGTTAGGGTGGAAAAAAGTATTCTTTATAAAATCAAAAAGAAATTATGATAAACTTGATTAAATGCTAGACCTCAGTAGTGGAACTGAAGAGCATAATGCACTGTGTCAATACTTTATGTTAATAGAACTGGAAAGTAGCATATGGGAATTGATTTTTTCTTGCCTAGTTTAATTAAGAATGATGAAGGTAACTACAGAATGAATTAATGTTTTATATGTATTAATGGAGAATAGTGTTCAAACTTGAAACCATAAAAATGCAATCAGAGGTAAATCCCCTTAGTCTTTCACGATACGACCTTTCAGTGTGATATTTCCAGTGTAACATAGCTCTCAGCTCTGTGCTTAAGGGGCCTCTTTTAGAAGAGATAAATCTGGAAAAGGGAGAAATGTGATCAATATTAATTAGTATGTCCAAAGTAAAAATGCCATAGATTCAGGGATTCATTTGATTGCACTTCTTCCTTTCTTAAAAAGATATATATACTCGGCAACAAGGACAATGCATTTATGAAAAACTAAGGCGCCCAGTGGGTTGGAGCCAAAACTGATCTTTCAAAACTAGAAAAGCTCCTTATGTTGATGGGAAGGATCCACTTCGCATTCTCTTCTGGATCTATCTCATGCTGCCTTGTACACAGTTCACTTATTCTCCAAAGCAGGTCTTCAGAGTCATAAGGAATGGCATTGGAAGGAAGAAGTTGTGGAAATGCTTGCCTGTATCTTTAAGATCATCCAGTTGCTAGAGTCCCACAGTGTGGTTTTGGCCCATCCCATTGTAGTTCCTATTGAGTTCATGGAGGCAAATCAGAGATTGATACTTAGCCCTCACATACTATAGCCAGACTCCAACCCAACTGGTATGCATGAGAACTGGGTTTGTACTGTTCTTTCTTAAAAGTCAAAATCCCACCAAAAAGTTGTTAAAAATGGAATTGAGATGAGCCTGGATCCAGTTTATCTTCTCGGATCCCACTAACTGGTCAGATAATAGTGGTAAACATTTCCTTCCAAGAGTTCAACATTTGTCTTGGACTTTATGTGCCATTCCCCATGGATTAGAGTGCAGAAGCCTTCTATACATGCATTACCCCCAGATATAATGGGAAATAAGATTCTACCATACCTTCTGACATATCAAGCAATAACATTCCTGGGGTAATGTGTGGTTTCCAGGCTGTGTGGTCATGTTCTAGTAGCATTTTCTCCTGGCGTTTCGCCAGCATCTGTGGCTGGCATTTTCAGAGGGTCAGAACTCCATTTAAATCCCCTTGAAAGGTTAACCGTGAATGAGTTATGTGTATGCCAGCCTCTGAAGATGCCAGGCACAGATGCAGGCAAAACGCCAGGAGAAAATGCTGCTAGAACACAGCCATACAGCCTGGAAACCACACAACACCTCGGTGATTCCGACCATGAAAGCCTTTGACAATAAAATGCTTTTCGGCATCATTAGAATTTGCCGGTCACATTTAAGATATGTTTTGCACTGCAAAAGTTTTCTATGAAAATTGTTCTCATATTATCAGACAAATCATACAGATTTGGTTCTGATGAAACAACTATGCCTGTTCAGGAGTTATGAATTATCTCAGAATTATTTTTATAAAATAGTGCAATCATGTTGCATTTTCTCTTATCGTTTGTATTTCCCGAACTTTGAAATTTTTAAGGGCTTTATGTAGAAAATAATTAAATATGGGATTGTATTTTTTTCTCTGTGTTAGAATGAGTAATGCAAGTATGTTTGTGTAATAATTCAAAACACCAGAAAGTCATTCTTGTATTGATTGGGTTTTAATTAACAAATGAAACAATTCATTGTAACAGCATTTGTATAGAAAAGGTATCTAAAGAGCACTAATTTAATGAAAAAATTATTATGCATTTTTGAACTACAAGATCAGCTTCCATATCTGTGATTTTTCTGATAGTATTTTACCTCAATACTTTGATGGGAACTTATTTTGGCAAATAAGAACTCTGTTGAAACACTTTTTATAAATAGTATGTTTAAAAGTGTAATTATTTTTATAAAGCATGGTGTTAAATAATGTTTTGCAGGATTGATTTGAAATTACATTTACCCTAATTACAGAAGCTTATTTTTTAAGAAAAATATAACCTGGAAAGTTTCCAGGCTTCTTTGTTAACACTAATATGTAATTTCCTGAGAAAAGGTCCATCTGAACTTAAGTGTGGTTGAACATCACATCTTCATAATGGGATGATTGTTTTAAACTCTGGAAGACTTTGATCTCAGCTGTTTTATTTTGCATTATTTTTAATAGATGAGAAGATTTTCAGAGCACATTTTGCAAGTGTCATGATTTACTACTTAGATTTTTTTTCCCCTAGGGTACAAGAGCTGTTTTTCAGAGAGAATTTATTAATCCTGATTGAAAACCTGTAAGACAGATTCTGAACAATCCCTTTCCCATTAATTATTGCTCAACACTAATGATGATTTTGCTGTATCTGCATGAGGCACTTTGTTACACTGAACATAGTAATTAATGTGTATACTTTTCATTGATTTGCCAGATACAAGGTGCATCATCTACTCTGGAGTTGCAATTTGACACCACTTGAATTGCCATGGCTCAGTGCAATGGGATTGTGGGAGTTGTCGTTCACTCTTTGCCAGAAAAGACTAGAGACCTTGGAAAACTACAACTCTTGTGATTCCATAGCATTGAGCCATGGCAGTTCAAGTGGTGTCAAATTGCATTAATTTCTGTAGTGGAGATGCATCCAGTGACCGAAAAACAATACTCCTTGGTCTGGCTCCAAGGAGATAGTATCTGGACTATTAATTCCAAGCAACAGCAAATGCCAGGGGAAGGGAGGATTTTGCATTTAACAGCAGTCATCTGAGAGATGAGATGTTTATATTTTAAGTGGATTGCTGAATTGGAAGCATCTAAGCACAATAAACTACCATATTTCTTCAATTCTAAGACATAATCAATTATAAGACAAACACTAATTCAGTACCAACATTAGAAACAAAGCAAGCTTGTTTTCGCTGCCCTGGAGACTAGGACACAGAGCAATGGTTTTAACCTACAGGAAAGGAGATTCCACCTGAACATTAAGAAGAACATTCTAACTCTGAAAGCTGTTCAGCAGTGGAACTCTCTGCCCCAGAGTGTGGTGGAGACTCTTCTTTGGAGGCTTTTAAACAGGCTGGATGGCCATCTGTCAGGGGTGTTTTGATTGTGTTTTTCCTGCATGGCAGGGGGTTGGACTGGATGGTCCATGAAGTCTCTTCCAACTCTGATTCTGTGATATTTAAAAAAAAAAACACCTGCATGTTCAGAGGTGTTTATATGGGAGAAAGTGCATCTTAGAATTGAAGAAATGCAGTATTTTGTTTTACACAGTCTCAGTTACCATTTTCTTGTGCGGCTCCTATTCATTTCATTTGGGGCTTGCGGTGGGAACATTCCCGATAGGTTATGCCTCTGGGTATAATTGGTCAGCCACTATATTTTTACATACAAACACTCTTCATTTCGAATACAGTTTGTTGCGTTGTGTCCCATGTCTTCTGCCACAGCTTCATTGATCAGCCAGCCTTGTACAGCTAGTCCCAACATCTCCAGTGTACAGAAGTGCCATTGTGTATTATGACTTTAGGACTGAGGGGATACTGTTTTCTACACATCCGAGATGCAAACTTTTTACATGTTTTCAACTACTACGTTTGTTGTATTTTCAGCACTTCCTGTACTGTAACCATGGTTAATCATTTGAGGATGATTTTGGTATTTTAATGGAAACCGTTATTGTAACATTTCTGATCGAAACTGTAGTGCAAGCCTTGTCTATCGGTTTTATTGGAGATACATTGTGTGGTAACTTTCCAATTTTTTGTTTTGTTTGGGTTTTCCTATCATGCTGTGTTCACAGGCTTAAATATTTTTGAATATTTTATTACTTTTGCATAATTAAACTTTCCAAAGTTTTGCATTGTGTGATGGATACTGTTTCTCACAGATACACACAGCTTATTCATGATTAACCTTTCAAGGGAAGTTTAAATGGAGTTCTAATCCTCTGAAGATGTCAGCCACAGATGCAGGCAAAACATCAGGAGAAAATGTTGCTAGAACAGGCATGGGCAAACTTTAGCCTTCCAGGCTGTTAGGAATTGTGGGAGTTGGAGTCCAAAACACCTGGAGGGCCAAGGTTTGCCCACATCTGTGCTAGAGAATGGCCAAAAATAGCCTGGAAACCACACAGCACTCCAGTAAATAGTTTTTCAGCAACTCGGTTATTGATATACAGTAGAGTCTCGCTTATCCAAAATATAAGGGCCCGCAGAACGTTGGATAAGCAAATTTTTTGGATAATAAGGAAGGATTAAGGAAAAGCCTATTAAACATCAACTTACATTATGATTTTACAAATCATGCACCAAAACATATTTTACAACAAATTGACAGAAAATGCAGTTTATCACACAGTAACATCATGTAGTAATTACTATATTTACGAATTTAGCACCTAAACATTGCAATGTATTGAAACTGCTGTGGATCCGGGTGGAAGGCTGCGTTGGATAATAAAGAACGTTAGATGAGCGAAGATTGGATAAGCGAGACTCTACTGCAGCTGCATTTGTGAAAGATTTATCAATTGATGTTTGAGAAATTCTTCCCTCTAGATTTAATATAACAATTTAAACTATGAATGTATTTAATCAGATACTTAGTATAATAAACTTTATTTATATCCCGCCACCATCTCTCCGAAAGGACCAGGTGGCTTACAAAAGCACTCCAGGGTACCGCATATAACATAAAGCAGTCCATAAGTATAAAAACAATAACTCATAACATAGCAACAAGCACTACCAATACACATAACATGGCATAAAATAAAATTGTTCAGTTTTAAAACGCAGAACACATGTAAGTAAAAACTGGCTGCCATCAATTCGCAAACTAAAGTGCCAGAGTGTCAGCGTCATATGGACCCATTTCATCCTATTCGAGGTCAAAGGCTAATTTAAAAATCCATTTTTAGGCATTTTTAGGATAGAAAGGATTGGTGGGTGGGGGCTAACGTAATCTCTCTTGGGAGGGTATTCCAGAGCTGGGGGACCACCATCCAGAAGGCCCTCTCTCTCATCCCAGCCAACCATGCTTGAAATGGTGGTGGGATCAAGAGAAGTGCCTCCCTGGCATCTCTCAAAGCCTGCACCAGTTCATAAAGAAATGGTCTCAAAGCTAGGTTGGACCCGAAACGTATAGGGTAGTGGGTGTCAACCTTCCTAATGCCGTGACCCCTTAATACAGTTCCTTATGTGGTGACCCCCCAACCATAACAATATTTTCATTGCAGCTTCATAACTGCAATTTTGCTACTGTTATGAATCGTAATATAAATATATGATATGCGGGATGTATTTTCATTCACTGGACCAAATTTGGCGCAAATACCCAATGCGCCCAAATTTGAATACTGGTCATCCGTATTGGGGGGGGATTGATTTTGTCATTTGGGAGTTGTAGTTGCTGGGAGTTGTAGTTCACTTACAATCAAAGAGCATTCTGAACTCCACTAACAGTGGAATTAGACAAAAGTATGATAGCTGGTAACCTACTCTGGTTACACAGCGTGGGTCTGAATTAATGAGGGGAACACGTGTGTGAGACAGCATAGCAAGTGAGAGATGCAGCTGTGTCAGAGTCGTGGTAAGATAGTCCGCCAGAAAGGGGGAGAGGAAACATTTCTATCCAGTTTACCATAAGCCGTTGTTTATCATTTAACAGTAATTAACTCTACCATAACTCACTCGCCTTAAGCACTATGCTTCCAACTATGTTTGTTGTCGCCGCCCGCCCCCCCTTTCTGCCCCTCCTTTTCTGGCTTGGCTGTTTGTTGTCCCCTTTTTCTGTCCGCCCCCCCCTCCTTTCTGGCGAACTATCATGCCACAACTCTGTCGCACCTACGCTTCTCACTCGCTCTGCTGTCTCATGTACATCTTCCCTGAATTCTGTCCCACGTTGCGCAAGTATTGTAGCGTACAGTCCTAGCTATCATACTTTTGCCTGGAATTGAACCAAACTTAGCACACAGAACTCCCATGACCAATGTTGGAAGGGTTTGGTGGGCACTGACCTTGAGTTTTGGAGTTGTAGTTCACCTACATTCTGAGAGCCCTGCGGACTCAAACAATGATGGATCTGGACCAAACTTGGCACGAATGCTCAATATGTCCAAATGTGAACACTGGTGGAGTTTGGGGAAAACCGACCTTGGCATTTATTTTAGTTGTAGTAGGTGGGATTTATAGTTCACCTACAATCAAAGATCATTCTGAACTTAACTAACAGTGGAACTGAATCAAACTTGGCACACAGAACTCCCATGACCAACAGAAAATGTTGGAAGGGTTTGGTGGGCACTGACCTTGAGTTTTGGAGTTGTAGTTCACCTACATTCTGAGAGCCCTGCGGACTCAAACAATGATGGATCTGGACCAAACTTGGCACGAATGCTCAATATGTCCAAATGTGAACACTGGTGGAGTTTGGGGGGAACTGACCTTGGCATTTTTTGGAGTTGTACTAGGTGGGATTTATAGTTCACCTACAATCAAAGATCATTCTGAACTTAACTAACGGTGACGGTGGAATTGAACCAAACTTGGCACACAGAACTCCCACGGCCAACAGAAAATACTGGAAGGGTTTGAGTTTTGAAGCTGTAATTCATCTACATTCGGAGAGCCCTGTGGACTCAAATGATGATGGATCTGGACCAAACTTGGCACAAATACTCAATATGGCCAAATGTAACATTGGTGGAGTTGGGGGAAGATAGACCTTGACTTTTGGAAGTTGTAGTTGCTGGGATTTATAGTTCACCTACAATCAATGAGCCTTCTGAACCCCAAACTTCCCACACAGAACTGTCATTACAGAATCCAGTATTACCGCCAACTGGCTGTTGGGAATTGTGAGGACTGAAGTTCCAAAAGTTTGCCCTTGCCTGCTTTAGAGGCGCCCCAGTCCTTCCCCTTTCTAATAACTCCGCCCTTGGCTTGACTCCTGCCTTGGCTTCCGTGTTGGAGAGAGAACGCCCACCAAGGCTGGAGCTGCTGCTGCTTCCTCCAGAGGGAGAAAGAGGGACCCCTGCAGCCATGGCAAGGGGCCGGATCACGGCTTTGACCGTGAGCGACGTCCGATTCCCCACCTCCTTGGATCACCACGGCTCTGACGCCATGGTAAGCTGCAAAAGCCACAGTGGGGGATGGATGCCTCTGGGAATGAACGCTTCCCCTTCCAAGGCTCAGTGTTCTGGAACCCTGGGAGTTGAAGTCTTACAAGGACTTTGGTCTCCTCTTCAAAAAGCACATGGCAGATAACAGTGCTGCAAAGAGTTACTTCAACTCCCAGGAGCCCCAGCCCAGCTTGCCTAATAACACTTATGTAACACATTTTTTTTTTGTTCTTGGGCTATAAATGTCATTTCCTATTTGGATCTCTCATAAAAACATGGGTGGTTTTTTTCCTTTCTTTTTTTCATGTCAGGAATGACTTGAGAAACTGCAAGTCGCTTCTGGTGTGAGATAATTGACCGTCTGCAAGGACGTTGCCCACAGGATGCCTGGATGTTTTGATGTTTTATCACGTTTGTGGTAAAACATCTTTTCTTCCACCCTGGACCTTCCACAGATATATAATCCTCCCTTACTTAATTTCCAATATACCTCTCAACCTCTGAGGTTGCCTGCCATAGATGTGGGTGAAACGTCAGGAGAGAATGCTTCTGGAACATGGCCATACAGCCTGGAAAACTCACAACAACTCAGTGATTCCAACGCTTGTGGGAGTTCTTTCTTCCACCCTGGACCTTCCACAGATATATAATCCTCCCTTACTTAGTTTCCAATATACCTCACAATCTCTGAAGTTGCCTGCCATAGATGTGGGTGAAACATCAGGAGAGAATGCTTCTGGAACATGGCCATACAGCCTGGAAAACTCACAACAACCCAGTGATTACGGCCATCGACATCACAATTCAACATAGTTTGTGGCAGCCACAAAAATGAAGTTTCTGGAGTATGGCAACAACTTTTGAAGTAAGTACCACACAATTAAGCCAGAAATAAAATTTTCAAACCAGGAACAGCACGTTTTCAAATGTTCTTGTGTAATCAAGAAGTCCAAAATACCTTTGGCAAAAACTTGTAAAGAATGCAAAACTCCATGCATCAATCCATGGCAGAATGCATCGATCCATGGCAGTTAAAGATAGTGACAGACTGCAGTACCTTTAAGACAAGCTTTTTTAAAAAATTGCATGAGTTTTTGTGGATGCAGTCCAGAATGAATTATATATTTTTCAGGACCATGATCTTGAAATTACACAGTTGTCATTGTTTCTAGGAGCTGTCGGCTTCCACAAAAACAGTCTTCTCCAGGTTGTCAAGTGCAAGCATATATTCAGTGTGTAAAGGGGATTGTGTTGTTTACATAATGCTTGTGAGTTTCTGCCTTTCTCTTCAGCACCCAGACCCAGACTATTCTGCAGCCTACGTTGTCATACAGACAGATGCCCCGGATGGGCTCAAAGGCTACGGCTTAACGTTCACACTGGGCAAAGGCACAGAAGTGGGTAAGCTCATGCTGTACTGTTTATGAAGTTGCAATAGGTGTAATGAAGTTCAACAGGGACAAATGCAAGATACTCCACTTCAGCAGAAAAAAATGAAATGCAGAGACGGGGGACACATGGCTCAAGAGCAGTACGCGTGAAAAAGATCTTGGCATCCTCGAGGACAACAAGTTAAACATGAGCCAACAATGTGATGTGGCGGCAAAAAAAGCCAATGGGATTTTGGCCTGCATCAATAGGAGTATGGTGTCTAGATCCAAGGAAGTCATGCTACCCCTCTATTCTGCCTTGGTTAGACCACACCCGGAATATTGTGTACAATTCTGGGCACCAC